CGGCTGAACAACTTTGCGCCTAACTACACTGCAGCTACAGAGCCCTGTGCACACTGTCAAAGCGCCCCAAAGAACTCGTCCACTCACTAGCGGTAAGGTTTTTTCCCTAGAAAGGTTTTCTTGTGTTTGTTCTTATTTGTTATTAAGAGTTATAACTGCTCTTAATTGTACGTATCCCCTGTATAGACCAGCCCTAGGCCAGGACTACATTGGTGTAAGAATCAAATAAATAAATAAATAAATATTTACAGAATTAGACTAATTAATTATCCTTTGTAATCCTAATTAACCCTTGTTAGTAGCCTCTTTTCTTGCTAAGTTTAGTGTTAAGAGGTACTTATATTTAATAGTAAGGTTATTTCTGTAGCCTTAGTATTAGGAACATTAAAATTATAGAAGAGTACTGTAGTCTTAGTGTTAAGAACATCAAAATTCATTAAGACCTGGCTGCAGCCTTAGTGTTAAGAACACTAAAACTGTTACGTGTTATGTTAGAAGCAGGTGACGAGTGCGCGAGATCTTCAGCCCATGTTGAGTGCTATCCTAAGACTGCAGAGCTGACGAGGATAGCATTAGGGTCGCTCTTATATAGCGAGCATGCCCTTTACTAACGCGTAGTACTAATTAATACCTGGCGGCCCTAGCGCTAGCGGCTAACAAGCATAGCAGCCGTGACATCACCCCCCCCTCTAGAAGACTTGACATGCCCTTATGTCTAATGAGAAAAAAAAAACAGCAGCAATATACAGTAAAACAAGCACAACACAACAGCATAGTACGCCGACCTAAGGTATCCTCCTGCCACATAGTTACTAGTATCTACTAATATTAAGGCCTGTCTCTTCTTACAGCCATCTTTACCTAGTCCTTTATTCTCTAGCGCTATCCTGACATAATAGCATTAATGCCGGTCTTAATTATTATATCAAATAGTACTAATACTGCTACTATTACTATAGATACTAGCGTATCTTAGCGTATAACGTTCTTAGGCTAGGCGATAAGTGATTCTGCCTTTTTGTTAGAATGCTTTAACTTTATAAGCATAAATATAATAGCAGAAGGTATAAGCATAATATTTAATTAAGTTATAACAAGGTTATACTTTATATTATTTAGTTCTTCTTATAATTATTTATACTCTTCTTATATTATTTAGTTCTTCTTATAACTATTTATACTCTTCTTATATTATTTATATTTCTTATTTAAGCTTAACGTGGTTCATAATCGTCTCACGCATATAATTAT